TGCGACTTCAGGTATTTGAGGCTGCAGTGGTCAGTGTAAACTGTGGTCTTGGCTCCCTCTAGGTAACACCTCCATGCCTTGAAGGCTACGACTATGGCTAAGGCTTCCTTGTCGTGAATGGGGTAGTTTAGTTCTGCTCCGTGTAACTTTATACTGAGGTAAGCGATAGGCTGTAAACCGTTCCCGTGATCCTGCATCAGTACTGCTCCGACTGCCTGGTCACTAGCGTCTGCTTCAACTACGTAGTCTTTGTCTGGGTCCGGTAGGATGAGTACTGGCGCTGTGGTCAATGCTCTCTGTAGCTGTTCCATGAATTTCTGATGAGGAGTACCCCATTTGAAGGGCGTATCCTTTTTCAGTAGGTCTGTCAGTGGCGCTGCTATCTTAGCGTACTGTGGCACAAACCTGTTGTAGTAGTTGGCGAAGCCAAGGAACTGCTGCAACTCCTTCACGTCCTCCGAAACTTTCCACTTCTTAACAGCTTCGATTTTCCGCGGATCCACGTGTACGCCCTCGGCACTCACCATGTGCCCAAGAAACTGCACCTTCTTCAGTACGAAGTCACTCTTTGACAGCTTCACGTAGAACTTATTCTTCCGCAGGATCTCGAACACCTTCCGCAGATGCTCCACGTGCTCCTTCATATTCTTGGAGTATATTAAAATGCCGTCCAGGTGCACTACGACGCACTCGTCCAGCAGGGGCCGTAGGATGTGGTTCATCTCCGCCTGAAACGTTGCTGGTGCGTTGCAGAGTCTGAACGGCATCACCAAGTATTCGTAGGAGCCGTATCTCGTACGGAACGCCGTCTTGTGGATTGAGTTGTCCGCCATTTTTATCTGCCAGTAACCCGACTGTAGGTCCAGCTTCGAGAAGACCGTTGCACCACGCAGTTGGTCCAGTAAGTCGTCGATGCGCGGTATGGGATATTTGTTTTTGACTGTCTGTTTGTTCAGTGCGCGGTAGTCGATGCACATCCGTAAACTGCCGTCTGGTTTTGGGGTGAAGAGAACTGGTGCTCCGTAGGGAGAGGTGGATGGGCGGATCAGTTGTTTGTCCAGTAAATACTCGATCTAATTCTTCATGTCTGTCAGTTCGGTCGGACTCAGTCGGTATGGTGCACGTGAGACGGGTTTCGCACCTGGTTCCTCCACGATCTCGTGCTCGTGGGTACGTGGTGGAGGTACGCCTGCAGGTAGGTCGTCGGGCATTATATCCTTGTACTGCTCCAAGACCTCCTTCACTGCTGCAGGTAGCTCGGAACTCGGCTTCTCCTCCTCTGCTGCTGCCATGACCAGTGCTAAGTAACCCGTGTTACTCTCGTTTACCGTCTGTTCGAACCGTGCCAGTGTCGTTTCAGGAATGTCCCCTGTATCCGTCCAGCTTCGCAGTGCTATCCGCTTCCCGTTGTTGTAGATGCACACCTTGCTGTTGACCCAATCGATCTCGGGGTTGAACCGCTTCAGGAAATCTCGCCCCAAGATAAAATCTAACCCTTTGATGTTGGTGACTGGTAGCTTCGGCTTTCACCTCAACGCACCTATATGTAGCTGCAGTGATGCTTCGCCGTGGATGGGGAGCTTCGTACCGTCCACCATGGTTGCTGAAAACTGGGTCTCCTCCGCCTTCTCTCCAATTTTCTCCAATGTTCCGCGGTCACACACCGAGTGAGATGCACCGCTGTCCACCAGTGCCTGGAGGCGTCGCCCATTGCATAACACCTCGAGGAGTAGTGGTTTCTGCTGCGCTGAGTAGCCAAAGAGGGTCTCATTAATAGGATCATAGGGTACATCAAAATGAATACCTTCCCTACTTCCTATACCTGACTCAGCACTTTCCAACTTCACCTGGGGGGTAGGAGGATTTTTCTGAGGCTTGTATAATTTCTCCTGAGCCTGGATGTCTCCTCTAAGCCTTTGCAGCTGTGTAGGCTTCACCTGTGGGCAACGGGGAGCCTTAACACTATGCTGCGGGGAGAGAATATTAACTCCACGGAACGCACGACCCTTTTCTACGCTCCGTAGTACTTTGCCCAACTTCTCAGGTACCTGAATAATTTCTAAAATCCTTTTCTTGGCCTCTAAATCTCCCCTGAATTTTTCAAAGGCTTGAAAACCACGAGAAGCAATATTTTTCGTTAGAGTATCTTTATAGGATACTTTTAACAAATTCTTACTTTTGTGGGTGTTCGGCTGGAGTTTTTCAGTCGGTGCAGAGTCTTTTTTCGCGGAGCCTCCATTCGCCTCGGCGATTTCCCCTGATGCCGGCCGGTCGTGACGTTTTATATTCGCGCCATCATTTTCTCCTTTTTTCACCCGCTCCGAAGTCGCCACGTCGTCGCCTTTTCCTGCTTTTCGGATCTTTACGCGATCGCCAGGTCGATCCGCGGCTACTGGCGATTGCCGTTTTTTGAGTTCGGGGGTGCTCCACATTTACTGTCCCGGAGTGCCGCAAGAGCCTTTTTCATTTTGTAGCACGACAAAAACTGATGCCCTGCTGCGCCGCAAAATTCGCATTTTGTCGGCTGCTGCTTCGCGTCGTATTTGTCGATATCCATCGGTTCGGCGAACGTGGGGGGTGCCGATCGCTCCGTGCCGAATGTACGGTTCGGCGCGAAACGTCGTGTTTCGGGTTGACCTCGAGTCAGCGCATCGTATCGTTTGGCAGCACGCACAATGTCCCTGTAGCTGTTGTAATTCGCCGCAATCACCTGCCGCCGAATCTCCATTTTTAACCCTTCTGTGTACGCCTGGATTTTTTCGCCTTCGGTCAGGTCGGGGATGCGGTTGAACAGTAACTCCATCTGCTGCGTGTACTGTGCTACACTACTGTATTGTTGATGTCGGCGTATCTGCTGCCGCGCCATGTAGGTCGTATTAATTGGTTTGAAACGCTCGACTAAATCTGCCCGAAACTGCGCCCACGATTTCTCCCCGCGGGCCACGTCAGTGTAGTAAATCCATTCGAGTGCCAGTCCACGTAACAGTGTCGCTGCGAGCCGAATTCTTGCTGCGTCGTGTGTCGGGGTCGAACAGCCAATGGCCTCGAAGTAAATTTCGAGGGTGGCCACGAATCGCCGGACGTCGGATCCCTTCGCGCTTGGATCGAACGCCTCCGGGAGCCTCGGTCGTGCTGCTTCGAGGTTCGGCGACAGTGGTGCCATCGGTCCGTGAAATGTCGGTGTCGCCACTGCTGCTGGTGCCGTCGCTGCTACGTTCGCTGCTGCTGCGGTGGCGATTCCTGGTTGGTGTGTCAGAAGGGCCTCGAGTCGTCGTAGCGCCGCCTGCGTCTGCTCCATGTCGGTGCGGAGGCTCGCGATTGTTGGTGCAACCTACGGTTTGCACTCGGCTTGTTGTCCGTGTGCGTGTGCGTGCATGCGTGTGTGCATGGAGTGGTATGAGTGCATGAAATAAATATATATTTCATGCTTATAATGGTGTGTGAATGATGGGTCATGATGTCGAGTGTGTGTGTCAAGTCAATAGCGAGTTATCGCTAGTCGCGTGCAACGCGGTCATTTTGTGTGTCCCGCGCGGTTTCTATTTTGTCGTGCGCGGTTTCTATTTTTGTCGCTTGTCGAACGTTCGGCGTGTCGCAGGTGTGTGCAGCAGACCCATCAAGAACTCAAGGATGAGTTTTGTGATGAAGAACCCGAGCCTTGGTTCAAGCTTCAAGCTTTTTCGAAGCTCGCCAAAAGGCTACACCTCAAGATATTGAAGATAGTTACATTACAAAGTGTAGTGTAACATTTCAGTTGGTGTAGGCCCTTGTGAAGGGTAGTTTCGAGACTCTTCTTGGTTGGGGACAGTGTGGCACTGTTCCCCATCACTGTACCTCGGCTCTTGGGGTTTGTAGGAGCTGGGAGTCCTTCCCAACTCGCAACTCTTCCTAGCTGTTCGTAATTGTGTCTTCTAAGACTATCTTGCTGCCATAGTGCCGTTCGTTCAATCTGATGCTGTGTCGTCAATTCTTGATGAAATCGTGTGATCTAAATTGCCTATTGTAGGCGACGTTAAGACGCTCTAGATCCAAGTTGAATGAGGTCAATTGGAGCTGTGACCAGATCGCTATGAATGTTCAAAGTCGCTGTGCAGAAATCCGTCTATGCAGTCTATCTTTCGTCTTAGGCACATTGAAGCCTACTGTCACTATAACAGCGATGTCGCTCGTGGTCGCATAATTGTCGCCTTGGCCCTCCATGAATGACATTAACGCGCCCGAAAAAACGAAACGAGGGGGAGCGAAAAACACGGAACCGGTTTTACGTACCCGAAATCGATGTTTAACTGCGTCGCCCCCGCGGTTTTTTTAAGACTGGTTTTTAGCGGTCGAAAAAACTTCGCGTGTAAACGGGCTCTGATTACCAAGTGTGAGGATCTTAGGATCGAGCTCAGAAAAGATGATTTGAATTGAATGATCACCTGGGTACAACACGAGGCTATATATAGGCTCGACACAAGGCAGGTAACCCAGGTGTTACGCGAATGTTCTGAGGGTCGCGAAGCGTCCCGAACAGAACCTTCCCGAACTCGGTAGAAAGCAATTCGGTGGCAACCGAATAGCTTGAGTTCGGTACACGTAACCTGGTTCGGTGCCTATAACTATAATAACTATAGTAAAGCAACGAACCTAGGAATCAAGCAATTCATGCATGCATAAAATAAACCTAAGCTAGAAATAGCGTAAGGGAATAAAAGCAAGCATGAATAACAAGCATAAGCCGTCGTACTCTCACACGTCGGGTCAGGTAGCAGCCCCTTGCTCGTGTCGCCACCTCTCACACCAGACTCTCCTCTGGCACCACCACCTTGGTCACCCCTCCCTGCCACGCCTCCGTGGCATGCACACCCGCCTCCTTGTCTCTGGTCTTCCCAGGTCTCTGCCCTCCCTCCCGCGCTCCTATGTCTCGCCCTGCATTCCTTGCGTCGAGGGGCGGCAACGCGCCGCGAACCCCTCACTCCTCGTTTCCCCCGACAGAGGCTCCCCTGCAGACTCTCCACATGGACGTGTGGGGCCCCGCCCGCGTCCGTGGACAGGGCGGCGAGCGGTACTTTCTGCTGGTTGTTGACGACTACACGCGTTACACCACGGTCTTCCCCTTACGCACCAAGGGTGAGGTCCCTGCTATCTTGATCCGTTGGATCCGCGCTGTCCATCTCCAGCTCCGCGAGCGGTTCCACACGGACCTTCCTGTCCTGCGTCTGCACTCTGACAAAGGTGGTGAGTTCTCCTCCGACCTCTTGCGGGCCTTCTGTCAGGGGGAGGGCATCCTCCAGTCGTTCACGCTTCCGGCCTCCCCGCAGCAGAATGGGGTTGCTAAGCGCCGCATTGGCTTAGTCATGGAGATCGCTCGTACCTCCATGATCCATGCGGCTGCTCCCCATTTTCTGTGGTCGTTTGCGGTCCGGTACACTGCGCATCAGCTCAACCTCTGGCCCGGTGTCTCCTTGCCGAAGACCTCGCCCACACTGCGTTGGACGGGGGAGGTTGGCGATGCATCACAGTTCCGAGTCTGGGGCTCTCGTGCCTTTGTCCGCGATACCTCTGCGGACAAGCTCTCCTCCCGCGCCATTCCCTGCGTCTTCCTTGGCTTTCCCCCTGACGCGCCTGGCTGGCAGTTTTACCACCCCACCTCGTGCCGTGTCTTCTCCTCTTAGGACGTCACGTTTCACGAGTCAGCTCCCTTTTACCGTCTCTTTCCCTACCGCACTGCCCCTCTCCCCCCCCCCCCCCCCGTCGCTCTTTCTCGCTCCAGGTCCCCCTCTGGTAGACCCCCTCCCCCCTCAGAATCCTGCTCCTTTAGGTGTGTCTCAGGTAGACCCACTTCCTTTGGTTGAGCTTGTCAAGGCTACTGTTGACTCAGGCGCTGCTGGGGTTGGTCCTGCTCGAGGTGCTGCGTCTGGTGGTGCTGAGCCTGGGGGTGCTGAGCCTGGGGGTGCCGAGTCTGAGGGTGCGGAGCCTGGGGGTGCTGAGCCTAGGGGTGCTGAGCCTGGGGGGACAGAGCCTGAGCGAGCGGAGCCTGGGGGTGCTGAGCCTGGGGGTGCTGAGCCTGCGGGTGTGGAGCCTGGGGGTGCTGAGCCTGGGGGTGCTGAGCCTAAGAGTATTGCTTCTACAGTACGTGACCCTCACTCACCGCAGCAGCTGCGCGAGTGGTACACTCAGCACTGTCGCCTTCGAAGTGGCGCTGCTGGAGCTGGAGGCCCTCGAGTTGCTAGCCCTGGAGGTACTGCTGGAGGTCCTGGAGGTACTAGAGGAGCTGGAGCTGTTAGTCCTGGAGGTGCTCGTACTGGAGGTACTGGAGCTGCCAGAGCTGGTGGTGCTGCCAGTATTGGTGGTGCTGTTGGTGCTGGCACTACTAGTCCCGGAGGTGCTTGTACTGGAGGTACTGGAGGTGCTCTCTCACCACAGCAGCTGCGCGAGTGGTACGCTCAGCGCTGCCGCCTTCGGAGTGGCGCTGCTGGAGCTGGAGGCACTGCCGCTGGAGACGCTGAAGTTGGAGGTACCGGAGGAGCTGGAGCTGCTGGTCCTGGAGGTGCTCGTACTGGAGGTACTGGAGCTGCCGGGGCTGGTGGTGCTGCTGGTGCTGGAGGTGCTGGTGGTGCTGGCACTGCTGGTCCCGGAGGTGCTCGTACTGGGGGTGCTGGAACTACTAGTCCCGGAGACCCTGGAGCTGGAGGCACTTGGGCTGGAGGCGTCGGAGCTGGAGGCGCTGGCGCTGGAGGCGCTGGGGTCGGCGGCCCTAGAGCTAGAGCTCCTGGTCCTGGAGGTGCTCGTACTGGAGGTACTGGAGCTGCCGGAGCTGGTGGTGCTGCGGGCTCTAGAGCTCGAGGCGCTGGCATGGAGGCGCTGGAGCTGGAGGCGCTGATGCTCGAGCTACTGGAGCTGGAGGCGTTGGAGCTGGAGGCACTGGAGCTGGAGGTTCTGGAGCTGCTGGAGGCGCTGGAGCTGCTGGTACTCGTACTGGAGGTGCTGGTGCTGGAGGAGCTGGTGCTGGTGGTACTGCACAGCCGCGACTGTTCTTCGCTCCGCCGTCACCGTCGTCTCTGCCGCCGCCTGACTCTGCTTCGCTAGGTTCTTAGCCTCCCGTCTTCTACTGGCCTCCCGTTACAGCCAGGCTCCCTAGTGCCTGCTCCTTCTCCTTACATGGAGCAGACAAACTCGCTTACAGAGCGTCGCGAGCCTGCGTTTCGTCCTGCCTCGCTTGTTTGCACTGTTCGCACTGGTCGGTCGTGTTCCTCATCTGCGTCCTCACACTATGACACTCACATTATGACACTTCGTCCTTCCTCTGTTCCACATCATGTCCCTTTACCGTCTCCTCCTGAGTCCTCTCTTCCGCACGTTCCGGACCCTGAGTCTGACCTGGTTCGTGCTGCCAGCCCTACTGTCACGCGTCTCCTAGCCACTGTTGTCACTGACCCTTCGTTTGAGTCCACTGCTGCGTCTGCCTTAGTCGCTGAGCTTGTTGACTTTGCTGCTACCTGTCGTCTCGACTACGTCGCTAGTCTTGTTGCTGAGTCTGAGTCTGTCTGTCCTCCGTCCGTCGGGGGTGAGTGTGCTCTTGGCACGGACGTCCTTGAGGACAGGCAGGAGGACTTTGAGTGTCTTGCAACCGCTATACCTCATCTCTTGGCCATGCTGCTTGACCCTAAAGGAGACCCAGATGCACCAGACATCCCGACCCCGCGCTCTTACGCAGAGGCGATTTCGGGTCCCTACTCCTCTCAGTGGTAGACAGCCATGGACGCAGAGATGGCATTCTGGAAGTCCACAGGCACTTACGTCGACGCAGTTCCCCCTCCTAGGGCGAACATAGTCGATGGCATGTGAATTTTCAGGGTGAAGCGGCCGCCGGGTTCTCCGCCTGTCTTCAAAGCTCGTTACGTTGCTAGAGGCTTTAGTCAGCGTCAGGGAGTTGACTTCTTCAAGAAATTCTCCCCTACCCCGAAGATGTCCACTCTTCGGGTGTTGCTGCACGTTGCCGCTCAGCGTGACTACGAGCTTCACTCTCTTGACTTCAGCACAGCTTTCTTACAGGGCAGCCTGCACAAGGAGATTTAGCTGCGCAGCCCACCTGGCTTCACTTGGTCGTTTCCTGAAGGTACCTGGTGGAGCCTCCGGCGGCCAGTCTACGGTCTCCGCCAGGCACCTCCTGCCCCAGTGGCACGACACACTAAGGACGACACTTGCGGCTCTTGGGTTTGCTCCTTCGACTGCTGACCCGTCGCTGTTTCTCCGCACCGACACTTCGCTGCCGCTGTTCTACATCCTCTTGTACGTCGACGACTTGGTCTTTGCCACTGCTGGCACTGAGGCACTGGCCCTTGTGAAGTCGGAGCTGCAGAAGAGACACGCGTGCACAGACCTGGGTGAGCTGCGCAGCTATCTTGGCTTGCAAATCACCCGGGACAGAGCACGGCGCACCATCACCCTGACTCAGTCACACTGGTGCTGGAGGTCCTTCAGCGCTTCGGCTTTACTTGGTCCTCACCACAATCCACTCCTCTGGCTATCGGTCACTCGCTCTCAGCTCCACCTTCGGACGAGTCCGTAGAGCCGAGTGGCCCGTATCCAGAGCTTGTGGGCTGCCTCATGTACCTGATGACCTGCACTCGACCTGACCTTGCCTACCCTCTTAGCATCGTGGCCCGCTACGTTGCGCCCGGGAGACACCGGCGAGTGCACAAGGAGGATGCTAAGAGGGTGTTGAGCTACTTGTGCAGTACATCGGGCATGGGGCTCGTGCTTGGAGGACGAGGTCCAGTTGTCCTTACAAGACACTCTGATGCGTCTTAGGTTGACGACATGGCTTTGCAGCGGTCGTCACAGGGTTACACTTTCAGCCTTGGCTGCGTTTCTTTTTCTTGGCGGTCTACCCGCTCGTCTTCTGTTCTCAGCTCTAGTTGTGAGGCTGAGATCTACGCAAGAGCCATGGCTGCACAGGAGTTACGCTGGCTCACCTACTTGCTGACCGACTTGGGAGAGCGGCCTCATTCTCCTCCAGTCCCATACGTAGACAACAAGGCTGCCATTGCCTTGTGTCAGGAGCACAGACTGGAGCACAGAACGAAGCACATCGTTCTGCGTTTTCCTTGCTCGAGAGTGGCAGCAGTGTGGTCAGCTTCGTCTTGCTTACGTGGCCACTCGGGCCAACACTGCTGATATATTCACCAAGGCACTTCCGTCTGGTGATCATCAGCGTTTCTGTACTACTTTTGTCAGAGACTAAGGGCTGAGTCTAGAACGTTTAGGGGCCGAAATATCACAAAAATCGTTTTCTTAGCATTCTGGACAGAAACCGCGACTTCACAAGAAACGTCGTCGACGAAAATATCACCGTTGTAGCTCAAGACTGTGGCTACAATTCCCAAGTTGAATCACATAAAAAGGTGGAGTATTTCGCGAGATATTAATTTCGGCGCACTAGGGGGTATGCTGCCACAGAATCTCAACTCAATCACAATGGTTTCACAAGTTCTCAAGTTTCATACAAGGAAGATAGAGTAGCTAGAAACCAGATGGAAGGGAAGAGGAGGACGAGAGGGAAGGTCCCAAGGGAGTCCCCAACCAAGGAAACCCCATGCCACACAATTCCCTTCCCCATAGGCAACCCCACTTTTACTTTTTGTCACTTTCCAACCCATGCCATCCACCTCACCCCAACTTGGCCACACTTGCCAACCTGGTTTGGCTTCTCCCAACCACATGGCAGCATATATAGTGAAAGGTTCGAATTTCCCAACCTCAAAAGTCTATACCCCTTATGGAGTCAACACCACAACCTCCCATGGTTTCCGATTGAGATGATTCTTGGCTCGTCGGAAAGGTCTTGAGCTGAGGAGTCATTTTAAATATCTGCTCAAGCCAGATCACAATCTCACACACTCTGAAAATCCAAACCGCACAACACATAAATTCTTGCACACGCTCACACCACGCATGCAACGCACGAACACATGATGGGAGGCAGACAGACGTGATTGCGAATGATAGCATCACACAACAAACTCCCCCTCTGGCTGCCAACCATCATCCCACATGCCATAGCTCAAGCATGCACCCTCAATGCACACTCATCCCAGCAAGCTTCATGCCCTTCCAATGCTCAGGTTCTGCCAGGCGCTTGGTGAGAATGTCTGCAGCCTGCTGCTGGGTCTTCACTAGCTCCAGTCGCACCTCCTTGTCCAGGAGCCTCCTTGTCCAATGCCACTTGGGCCTGATGTGCTTGGTCAGCCCATGAAGACAAGCATTCTTGGCCAGCTTCACTGTTGACTCGTTGTCACAGAAAATCACAGTCGGCTCCTTTTGAGCAACTCCAATCTCCTCCAACAAACGCCTCAGCCACACCACCTCCTTTGCCCCATGATGAAGGGCCATGTACTCTGTCTCACATGAGGACAGCCCCACCTCGTTCTGCTTCAAGCTGCGCCAGCTCACTGCACCACCTCCAAAGAGGCACACATAGCCTCCAATGCTGGTGCCATCCGACTTCACAGAGTTGAAGCTAGCGTCGGTGTAGCAAGTCAAGAGCATCTCCCCCTTGCTCAAATCAGCTGCACCCCTCTGCAGCCTCTGTCGCACGCCACTGTACTCCTAGCCCACTGATGCTGTAGTGCTCACATAGCGGACCAACCTCTTGGCCGCTTCCAGCTGCTCATGACTGGGGCGTGAAACCACACTCGCAAGCCTGGATGTAGCAAAGGCAATGTCAGGCCGCGTGTGGTTAGCCGCATAGTTGAGTGCCCCCACCATGGAGTGAAAAAGCTTCCTGTCACTCTCACCCACCACCTCCTCATCAGCACAGGGCTCCACGGTGAGCCCCGAAGGAAGTGGGGTGGCTGGCTTCCCTTTGTCTTGCAGCCCATACTTCTCGGCCAGCCCCTCACAGTACTTCCTCTGGTGCAACCTCAACACTCCCTTGTCGAGGTCCCTCTCCACATGCATCCCCAAGTAATACTTCACATCTCCCATCTTCGAGCACTTGAACTGCATCTCCAGCATCTCCTCCACACGCTCAATCATCGCAGACGACTCGGAGAAGAGCAGGATGTCGTCCACGTACACCAGGAGCATGAGGAACTCGTCCTTCTCTTGCAGCAGGAACAGGCTGTGGTCACACTCACTCTTCTTGAAACCCCCGGCCAGCAGTGTCTCCTCCAGCTTGTGGTACCATGCGCGAGGAGCCTGCTTCAGGCCATAGATGGCCTTCTTCAGCCTGCACACCCTGCCGCTCCCATCATCCAACCCCTCAGGCTGTAGCATGTACAGCTCCTCCAGGATGATCCCATTCAGGAAAGCAGTAATGATGTCCATCTGCTTGATCTTCCATCCGCGGTTTGCAGCCATTCACAACATCACCCTCAGTGTAGTCCCTTTCCCCACAGGAGCAAATATATCATCAAAATCCTTCCCCTTTGTTTGCTGGAACCCCTTAGCCACAAGCCTTGACTTGTACCGGGTCAGCTCCCCATTGCGGAGAGTCACTACACAACGGGAGTGGAATATGGAGGTGGGCACGGGGTTGTGTGAGTGATCGAAGCGCTCTGCTAGCGTTTTTACTGCTTGTTGTGTTCACAAAGAAGTTTGGCAAGAATTCCACTAAGGAAAGAACAACTTGCATTACAAAAGTTGATAGGAAAGAATAGAGTACAACTATTAGGCATGCAAAAGATATGACTAGAATGGCATGGAACTCCTAGCAAGGGCGAACTCTGCCAGCGCAGCAGAAGAGCGGCTTGCCAACGCTGCAGCAGAGTAGTCTGCCAGCGTTGCACTGCGCGCGGTCTGCCAGCACTGCAGTCGCAGGTGACTATCTGCAGTCGCAGGTAACATTCTGCAGTCGCAGGTTGTCTATCTGCGCAGATG